GTCTTCGCTCCCCTTAATTGACAGACTTGGATGTAAATAAAGTCAGTTAGTATTTAATTCGCTCAATTACGTCAGAAGGAAGGCGGATGTTTTCCAGTCTAAGCCTGAAGTTGATTAAACTGTCTAGACACTGTACTGAGCTCGCTAATTTCTAATAGGTCATTCACCTTTTGTCTGAGTCTGAGTTGTCACCTTTTCTGTGTGAACTGAAATTGTCGCACGTTTCAATCTGTCCATGTAATGTCCGAAGAGTTCGATCAGCTGTCTAGACGTTTCGTCTGTCGGCTGAACAAAGAGAGTCAATCTCATTAGCGGTTATGAACTGTCAAAAAGTACATTTAAATGCGGTTTTAATCGACCACAGAAGATGGCATTAATCAAAAAGTACATGTAGTGTAGTTAACAGGGATACAAGCTCTGTCTGTTCCGCCCCCCACGAAAGCTGGTTGGAAATTGAAGTCTAAATAAAGAGCGTAATGGACCAACCTATCAAAGACCTTTCACCTTCAACCTGCGTTGGGTAACATTAAATAAAAATGGGTTGGACTTCGCAATGGAGGCGGATAGTCAAATGAACCCAATTAAACAAACACGCCAGATCTAAGCAATTGTCTAGATTGGACCTTCCTTGTTTTTGGAGCAAAGTTTACAACATCGTTCCCCTAAATGGTGCAAACAGATTTGGTCCTAGCTAAAATTGACAAATTTGCTCATGCGTTTATATGTTAACAGGTCTAGTTCTATTTTTAAAACCAATTGCAGATTTTACCCGAAAAAGTTCGGAAGGTAATCACTCGATTAATCGAGCTAATACGTACTGCGAGATTGTCTGAACCGAGACACGAACACCTGTTTATGAAAACGCCTAGAGACTACGGATGGTTCGTAGACGCGACGCGTGCAAAGTGCGCCCACTTCTAGGCCAAAATAAAATCGGACAAAATCTGCAATAAGACGAAATCTGTCAATGAAATTTCCGGGACGAAAACTGCAGCAGAAAGATATCTCAGCCAATCCCTCTTAGAAGACAAAGTTAAGATCTTCCGCGATGCTATTAAGTTTGCATTAAAACAGAATATATTAAAATAGTGGGTTGGATTAAAACCAAATTGACTTCCGTAGGAGACGTAGCGTGAAATCTTGGCCCAAGGACGCCTACCCTATCCTGTCTGGCATATGTTTTGCCTCAGTGTTTGCATTTGTGCCATATTGCGAATTAACTTTTTCTGACCTAAGTCGCCCTTTTTTGTTGTCAGCTTCTGCGTTCATATTTATTTTCCCGACTTTCGAAAGAGACGGAATATATTAAAATTATGCTTAGGGGGTTTTTACTCGTGACTTTTTAATTAATCATTTTTGACAGAATTTTTCAGTATCTTATCGATGACCAGAGCACAAATTTAAAATAATATTTCGCCTGTGAAATTTTTTCATGAACTTATTGGGGCTTGAATTTGGGTCTACTTTGGCCAATTTGGGATATTTGAAGCGCGTGAAAGTTCCAGTTTTTCATAGGCGTGTAGCAGTAGAAGCAATCCAGCTCGGATAACTTTTAAAGCTGAGGCATTCCAGTTGATCCAAACATATTAAAATGCAAAAAATATCACTTTGTACTTTAAATTGGGTTTGTGACGAAGAATTTTTTAGAAGATACAAAATTTTTTAGAATGTTCATCATTGATTTTTCTGGAAAACATAATCAATATTGCAAAAATTTATTTCAAATACTTCAAAGGACAGTCGGAAAATTCAGGGTTTTGCCTGATACGAGCAGTATTGTGACAGTATATGTAAATCATCCATCGCTAAAAATCATAGGATACTCAGGTTATTAATATCGTGACAAGTATTTTCCGCTCCAGTCAATTCCGCCCCAAAAACCCAGTCATTTCCGCCCCAATACTATTCCCTTTATTTCGGTTAGTTTAATTAGGTTTAGCTACGTGCATTGACATTGGGGCGAAACTGACTCCTTTTGGGGCGGAAATGACTGCGTTTTTGGGGCAGAAATGACTGGGAGCAATTAATACAGGCCATTGTAGTTATTTTATTCCATCTGACAGATAATGACTTCTGGAGCGCAATAAATATGTGTTACCTCAATTAAGCTCATTTATACCTGTGATAATATTTTTTCAAAAATATGGTGCGCAAATAGCTAACTTGGCTAATTTTGGAGAATTAATGCGCGTGGCGTAGGCAGCGAATCATTCCGGCTCAAATTTTTTTTATGTGTTCATGTTTTTAATTAGTTAGACGGTTCAAGTTTTTCTTTGATTAAGCTTGGTTTTGGGAATTGCAGCTTCGACTTCGTGTTCAAAATAAGCGATTTAAAAATAACGTACTAGAACTTAATTACCGGTGAACTAAAACAAACGATTATTTTGGTTGTTAGTTTCGGGTCGCACGCGCAAATACGAGATTGACCTGAGATAAAAATAAACTGAATAGCAGGCAGAATGCTCTAAAAGTGGCACAAATTAAATGTTAAGATCCAAGTTTTTTTTGCAAAAACAATCTAAAATAGGTTTTGCTGGTTCTTGTGTAGCACAGAAGGTTCGGACCACAGTAGTATAAACGAATTTTTTTTTGTTAAAAATTTAGTGTTTCTGCGAGGAAAGAGAGAAAACTTAACCTGGTAAATTTTTCTTTGGCTTCATAGACTACAATTATTTAAGACTACACAAATATTGCAATTCATAAAAAGTTGAAAATTAAACGTTTTTCAGAAAACTCAAAAAGGTCAAAATTTTACATTTTAAATTTAAGTTCAATGTTTGCAGGATTTTTTTCGTGCTGAAAATGAAATTTCAAAAACTGCTTATTCAAGGTAAAAAAAGCCTTAGTTAGCTTAATGCATGTTTTACGTTTTCTACTCGTTGTTTTACTTGAGTAAATTAGACTAAAAAGCAACAAATTGAAACCGGATTTTTTCGAGTGAGAAAACTTTTCAAAAAATATTTCATGTCGCTCGAAGCACGACTGTTAAGATTTCAATATGATGTATCCCTCGATTTTTTCGGGAATTTTTTTTTATAACCAGGAGCTGATATAGGTTCTCGATCGGGCGGGGGTAACGAGCTCTCCCAAAAGACATAAAGACATTTTTTGATTTTTTAAATGCGTTTTCGGCTGGTGTTTCCCCTCAGAATCAGTATATAAAGAAGGGCAGCGGCGGTTTTAGAAAAAATCATTGGCTGAAAATGGAAGTCGCACAACAGATTTTTTGAATGGTGGGGGATTAGAAGGTGAAGTCAAAACATTAACCCCGGGAAAAAATCTAATTTTGAAAATCAAATTTGGACTAAATTTTTTCAAACAAGAATCCAATTAGTGAAAATTATTTTGAATATTGCTTCTCGGTCAACAGCGCGTCACATTAAGCATGTACACAATTGAAGAGTTCACTTTGGAATGTTAGATATGACAAAATATGCAGACTTAAATTACTTTTTAACGTCATAAAATTATCAACAAAAAATATTAAAATCTCGGTTGGTAGTCAGTGACATTTGACCACAATAAACAATCTATTGACGAGACTTATATGTTTGAATTAAATCAATGAAAATCTGAAGTGTTCGATTTTCAATATGAATATCTTGCTTCGTTTCAGTCAATATTCTAGGTCCCGTGCCAGACAAACATGTACGCTTTACTTTTTTGTTGTTTAAAAAAATGTCGCCTGCTGTTTGCTACGCTTTTCAATTTTTGTGCCGTAAATGCCAAATTCAAATCGATTCAGTTCAGTGAGTTTGGTATTTGATTTGGACCTTAGGGATCTAATGTTTTCATGCGTTTCGCCAATCGGTCAAAGTGTCTGCCGTTTCCTCTAGTTAGATATGAACTAAATTTGAAACTCGCTCCTAAATTTCCTCGCGACATTGCATTAATTGGTCTCAGAGAACGTCGTCTCCTAACCTTAAATGTGGCTTGAACGTCTAGGCGCGAGTGTGTTTGATAGTATGGAGTTGGAGCTTAGCTGTCAGATGTCAGCAGTCAAAGACGTCTGAGGTTCTTTGAGTGATTGATAAAAATCAACATAGAACAAAACTGACAGAGATTTTGCCGCAAGGTATGGAACCCGCTGTCCTATTTACCCGACAGGGGGGTCTACAGATCGTCTGATACCCTTCTTGTTATTGATATAAAACCTTAGTTTGACTTGAGAGAATGTGGTTTTAGTCTGTATGTTTGCTTCATAGACACGATATTATAATTTGGTTTGATAACAGTTGTGAATGATTTGTGGTGGGTGAAATGAATATAACTGAGATAAAATTCGCTGAAGTCAGCCCACCGAAGTTGATAAGAAAGAAATTGACAGTATTGTAAATATGTTTGTGTCGGTTGCAGATATCAATGCAGACCCCAACATTTCATCAAGTTATGATTTGTGCCCTGACTTACTTAACAACCCAACAATCCATGCTCAGATTTTGATGGAATCCATGCGATCTTTTAATACCAATTGCCACCCCTATAAAGAAATATTTCAACGGTTAAGCATATGTGAGTTTAATATTTCGTAAGCAATCCCCCCTTTTGCAAAAGGGGGGAAGAGATAAAGAGATCCAATCAATGGTATGTATTAGTCAGAATAAATAAAACTTATGTTCGTTTCATAGATATGAACGATGATTGTACGATATAAGTTATCACATGTAAACATGATGGTTAATTTAAGGCCACTCGTGAATTCAAGTTTTATTAGATTATTGAGTTCGAATTAAATTAATGAAAGATAAAGGTCAGTAATTTAGGATCTGTGGTCCGTACGGGTAGATCGAGAATGAGGTGTAATTCTCTGGGACCAGAAATGGTACATGAAGCTAACATGTCGGTAGACCTCGATCGGAATCAGAGTCATAACCGGGGTTCTTCACATAGAGCTGAACATCTCTTATGTAATGATTTTATCATGTCTAAATCATTAAATTGTTAAATTATGGTTTTTCTTAATTAATTTCTTTTTATGTTTCTTTTCGAATGTGTTATAGCTGGACCCTGATTCCTCTGACAAACTGTTAATAACCCCTATCATTTCTTCACATGCCAATAGCAACCAGCAATCCACTGCGATATCCGGAAATAATTCAACCGTCTCCGCCGCCCACCATCCCCACGGCACAACACCCAAAAAGAAGTTCCCCAGAGTAGACTGCGACTCGGGGTTCGGATCCAGTCCCGACTCGAGTTCGAACAGATCACCATCTTCGTCGCCGCCGCCTGTTCTCACCTCGTCTTCAGCCACGGCGCTGTCGGCGCCCAGGCTCGCGACGTCGTGTTCATCGGCATCTTCAATGGCAAATTCAATCCCTGTACATGTTTCAAACCACTCGCAAACCACACAATTGGCGAACGCGATCAAAAACAATCCTGATCTTTACTCGCAGATTTTTACTTCCTCCGCCGCCGGATTGAACAATCTGTCCGCGGGCTTAGGCTCTTTCTCTTTAGCCCCTGGATTGCAGAAACAGCAGCAAGGTGTAAATAGTCAAGCCATGCATAGCCCAAGATCACATTCGACACCATATGCTGTTATTAAGTGAGTCCCACCCACCACCTTATAAATCAAAATAGTCTGCTTTTTAAAATTGGCTTTAAAACAAACAAAAATTTATACCGATATTAAGTATTTCAACAACTAAAAATCTGAACAGCTAAAAATCGTAGTCTGAAGATTTTTGTTTAAAATGTGCTCTTTTTTGATCTATTTTAGATTTGATAAATTTTTTTATGTTTTGGTCACATTCATACCGTGTTTTTGTTTTTTGGTAGCTTATTTATGGTAACATTTCTTTTCTAGGCCGAGTGACAAAGTGGCAGCCGCTCTCCTCACGTCTCAACTCACATTCCCAAATGGAACAACCATCAACAGTTAGTTTTTAATTTGTTATTGCTAGCTCACTAAACGAGAAATGAGGAGAGAAAAAAGTGGCTAATGCTTCCGAGTCGGGATCACCAGGTTGTTGGTTCGAGACTTACCATGATCTGTGCTGCTAGCTTTTTTTTTCTTTTCAATTTCCCAGCCAAGAACAAAATAAGGTCAAGGTGTGAAATTCAGTTTGCGTGGTACAAGAAAAGCTGAAGGCTTTCGATGTTATTTTTTGTTGCTAAATCGATTGAACAGTAAATTATTGTTTGATATCTATGCAACTGATAAAAAGTCGCATTAAAATTTTTAAATTGGGCAAATTCATTTAGACTTGGTATGTATTGTTAATCTTAGTTCAAGCCTCTATTGCTTCTATTGTTTATTTGATGCGACGAAAAAAAGTTTTTGACTCCATATAGGATCATTGGATTTTTTATACGATACATTTATAAAACGTATAATTGTTTTTTTTGTAGCTCAACAAGACTTGCAGCGCCATCTGATTGCAATAGAAGCTAACAAGGGGGCTGGAAACGTGTCCCCGGGAGCATCTTCTGCACTGCAAAACTCCCAGTTCAAACATCCCCCGACCCCATCCGCCATCCAACACGCATCCTCTCAAAGCAACAACGTTCATAACTCGGGATCCCTGCAAACATCTCCGGCGGGTGGCGGACACATCGGCTCAGCCCCGTCGGTCATCATCCCGCCCCACCTATCCCCCCACCAAGGCCACGTGACTGCACTGGGACTTGTGCATGGTGTCCCAAATGTGGTTGCAGGCACTGTAGGGTCGGCAGTTTCGACGGATCTTGTGTCGCCTGAGCTGCGCATGATCAGCCAGGCAATGGAAGTTACAATTGCTAAGATCAATGCTCATTGCACTCCCAATGTCAAACTACATCTGGACCAGTTGGTCGAACTGCTAAAAGAGCAACAGAAGCAATACTTGAAAGACTTCGCAATGACACATCAGGTAGAGAAAACTTCATATAACTAAATAAAAAAACTCAGTCGAATAACTGATTTTTGAATTCCTACCCTCAAAAAGCGATACTTGTCAAATTAGTTGAAATTTTAGGCCAACAGCAGTTTGCAGCTGCTCAATTCATATGAAATTCGGGCGCTATAAAAAGTAGTCGAGTTAGAAAAACTGACATACATTTGCGGATATTTTTTTTTGCAGGAAGTAAAATATTTCAATTGAGTTTTTTGTTTAGGAAAACGAGCGTCTGAGCATGGAGCTTAAAATCAGAGAGAAAGAATTATCCGAGGCCAAGAATGCTCTTTCCAAAGTGAGAAATGATCTTCAGCATTCAGACATCGAACTACACAACGAAAAGACTCTCCGATTCAGAAACCAAATTGATCTGGCTCAAGTTCTGAGAAACCAGCAAGCACTTGGAACCTACAACTCAGTCATTTTCCAACAGCAACACAAACTGCAACAGAGCTCGATCTTGCAATCAGATGCAATTCTCGCCGCCAAAGGAAATATTACGTCATCGAGTCCAGCAGTCACTTCGATATGCTATGACGTCATTACATCTGCATGCTCCAAAGCCGAGCCAGATTGGTCTTCGTTGTCGCCAGCGAGTGTAAACTCAGTCGGAACACCGACACCATCGCCGAAAGTCGAGGCTTCGACCGAATGTCCGAGAACATCGCCCAGATGTGAAAGCGAAGAGCGAACGCCCACGAATGGATCTCCATTTTCAAATCACCTTCCGAATTCATCCAAAACTGAGGCTAAAACTGGAAGGAATTCGTTGCAGACGAATAGGGAAGAAATCGAAAATGATGCCGAGACAAGAACGAGAAGTCCTCCGCCGACTCGTGATGACGACGAGTCTACCCGAGGAACGCCATCGCCTTCGCACAGCACTGAATCATCATCGCAACTTTTGATCGTTGATTGCTGAGCTAATCGAGCGCTAGTTCGAAATCGTCACAATTAATGCACAGACGAATGCGATTTGAAAGTGGGATTGGAAATCGGAATAAAACTTTGTTGAAAACTCATTTAGCTTAATTTACCCTAACTTGTCATAGACCTTTCTGGGCTTCATTAAAAACCATCTGGCATGGATTAATGTAGCAAATTCGAAAAATTCTGATAAAACTTTTATTTATGTTGTTTATTACAAAATTGCGAGTTATTTTTTATAGTTTGTGTTTTAATGTATAACCATTTGGCATTACCTTTTTTCTACCTCAGTTCAGAGTTTGCTTAGTGTAATCTAAGTTATGTTTATTCTTCTAAAGTGCAACGTGGTGATTTATGATTTGTTAAATTATCTCCCCAAATTGTTGAACTTTCGTTTCTCAAGGCGCGGCTTCTATTCTTTTCTCTTGAAGGTGAAGTGATGAATAAAGAAATATCATCCCCGCCTAATCCCCCCCCCCCATCCACCCATCAAGCTTTGCTATGTTGTCACCTAGTATGATAACTTCAAGTTATGAAGTTATCATACATTACCTACCCTTCCTTTGAGTTTAACTGTGCCCTTCAATATTGGTGTTTAGTTTACTCGATTAGATGATAGGACTAGCAACAGCTCATAGAATACTATTGTGTTATTTATAAAATCCCTGATATTATGATGGATTCTAATTTACTGTCTTAAAATGCCAATTTTTTCTTTTGATTCGTCACTAAGAACTATCAAATCATCATCGTCTTGAGCATTCGCATGATGGGTTTTGCGCATTCTCAAAAGCCAATAAAGATAAGCCGAAAAGGATGAAGCAGAATCATAACTTACTAGAAGAATTTTAACTTACGATAAATGTCCCCAGTTAATATAAAAGTCGCGCAAAAAATTACGCCTTCTATTTGATGCTAAATTCTCGAAAAATCAAACAAAAAAATTTGTTCAATTTTAGATAGTTTTTCAAACGTGCTGCTGTTTTTTGGCAACTAAGGGAAGGTAAGTTAAAGTTTGCTTCAGGAATTGAGTGCTAGTTGCGAAAATAAGATAAAAAATAAAGAATTGGTTTCAAAATCAACAACGGTTGATTCAGATCTCAAATTGAAGTAATTTGAGATAAGTCGACTATCCTGCGTCTTAAAAACGATTCTGGAACAAATTTACTCGAAACTAAGAAATCTACACCAAGACTAAAAATGATAACATTATACCACTTTGAACTCCCAAAAGAATCCTTTGAGGTTCTACATTTGCGCGTAGAAAAACTCTGCGTTGTAGTTTCTTGGAGAAACTATCACTAAAAATGTAATTGCTCAAGGCTTTGACACAATTTTGATTCAAAATGAAAATGATTCGGGATCGAACAATCAATTCCCCTGAGTTCATTAAAAGAAAACAAATATGATCTGTGAGACCATTAAATGGAGAACAAAATAAGCTTGAGAGTGCAAAAAAGATCCAATCAACGAAACTTATAAAACCAATATTTTAGAATAAGATGTTGATAATTTAGTAACTGTTCTGGCCATTGAAAATGGGGGGGGGGGGTTGTATTCGAGTGTGTTTTAGTTCTTTCATCCGTGTTGTGGTTTGTGCTTTTTATCTCTCTTATATTGACATCTAGTTTTTAATTAGAGAACTGTTAGTTAATGTCTATTCGAAGTCCACTGGACTTCGCGACACTTTACTAATTCTATTGAGACAAGACAGTTTTAATTCATTCCATTTCATTTTTTTTAACTTTAGAATAGTCAGTCTTTAGTATACCAGTGGTATTTGAACGCTCTTTATTATTGCGCAGTCATCTGATTCGAACTTGCGGAGAATTGCCGCCTTTTCGCCAAATCACACAGTAGAACCCCCACTCAATAGAAAAATTGAACTGACCAATTTCACCTGGCGTTATTGCCAAAGAGAATCTAGACATCGACAAATTGAAAGAACCATAGGATTCGGAGACTGAAATACCAATCCTAGAAGGTGCCCAGGAATCAGAAACTGCAACTGCAGAAAGCCAGGGAAGCAAAAAACAGACGCGATGAGATTCTAAAAGATCGCAGAGGACAAAACAATTGCGGTGAAAAAACAAAATTTGGTGGCTCGAGAAGATTCGAAGCGCAGAAAAAAAATAAATTTTATATTTGGTCTTAGGGTCTCAAGGAAAAAGAGTCTTCTCACAGAAACAACCCAGAATGAAATTTTTATCGGGCGTCTTGAAGTAATTTATCGATCTACTAGAATCCGCATATGTGAAAAGAGCTAAAATCAATTTCGAACGATACTTTTTGTTGAGTCAAAAATAAAGGACATTGAATCTTATGAACAGTTTTGGGGAGCATTAATAGCTTAAACAAGAACGTGAAAAATTGGAATAAACGCAGAACAAGAATGGATGTATTCATTTTTAATACGAGAAACTGCGACGCACAACGGAGACTACTTTCGGAAACTCTAAACCCATTGGATGCACTGAATTAGACAATTTTTGACAAAAAGATACTCTTATCATCTCAAATTAACCAAATTTTAATCCTGCAGGATGAGAACCCAGCCTGAACATTGAAAACCAAACTCGTGTACAAAATATGGATATAAGTTTACCAAAAGTCATTTAAATGTTTGCCCGGTAATGGAATAAACTGTAAAATATGAAAATACAAAGGACACTTCGGTAGATTATGTAGATCGAAAGCAAGAAAACTGGCTGTAAATAGTGTAGAAGAAAATGTACATAATCAGAATTGATGATGATGACTATGATGACTATTCAGTATTCAACATGAGAACGATCTCCGTCGACAACGGTTTGGAGAATTTTTTTTCTGGAAATATAGGTATCGGTGAAGATCAAAATATAAATTTAGTAACTGTTCTGGCCATTGAAAATGGGGGGGGTGTTGTTTTCGAGTGTGTTTTAGTTCTTTCATCCGTGTTGTGGTTTGTGCTTTTTATCTCTCTTATATTGACATCTAGTTTTTAATTAGAGAACTGTTAGTTAATGTCTATTCGAAGTCCACTGGACTTCGCGACACTTTACTAATTCTATTGAGACAAGACAGTTTTAATTCATTCCATTTCATTTTTTTTAACTTTAGAATAGTCAGTCTTTAGTATACCAGTGGTATTTGAACGCTCTTTATTATTGCGCAGTCATCTGATTCGAACTTGCGGAGAATTGCCGCCTTTTCGCCAAATCACACAGTAGAACCCCCACTCAATAGAAAAATTGAACTGACCAATTTCACCTGGCGTTATTGCCAAAGAGAATCTAGACATCGACAAATTGAAAGAACCATAGGATTCGGAGACTGAAATACCAATCCTAGAAGGTGCCCAGGAATCAGAAACTGCAACTGCAGAAAGCCAGGGAAGCAAAAAACAGACGCGATGAGATTCTAAAAGATCGCAGAGGACAAAACAATTGCGGTGAAAAAACAAAATTTGGTGGCTCGAGAAGATTCGAAGCGCAGAAAAAAAATAAATTTTATATTTGGTCTTAGGGTCTCAAGGAAAAAGAGTCTTCTCACAGAAACAACCCAGAATGAAATTTTTATCGGGCGTCTTGAAGTAATTTATCGATCTACTAGAATCCGCATATGTGAAAAGAGCTAAAATCAATTTCGAACGATACTTTTTGTTGAGTCAAAAATAAAGGACATTGAATCTTATGAACAGTTTTGGGGAGCATTAATAGCTTAAACAAGAACGTGAAAAATTGGAATAAACGCAGAACAAGAATGGACGTATTCATTTTTAATACGAGAAACTGCGACGCACAACGGAGACTACTTTCGGAAACTCTAAACCCATTGGATGCACTGAATTAGGCAATTTTTGACAAAAAGATACTCTTATCATCTCAAATTAACCAAATTTTAATCCTGCAGGATGAGAACCCAGCCTGAACATTGAAAACCAAACTCGTGTACAAAATATGGATATAAGTTTACCAAAAGTCATTTAAATGTTTGCCCGGTAATGGAATAAACTGTAAAATATGAAAATACAAAGGACACTTCGGTAGATTATGTAGATCGAAAGCAAGAAAACTGGCTGTAAATAGTGTAGAAGAAAATGTACATAATCAGAATTGATGATGATGACTATGATGACTATTCAGTATTCAACATGAGAACGATCTCCGTCGACAACGGTTTGGAGAATTTTTTTTCTGGAAATATAGGTATCGGTGAAGATCAAAATATAAATTTGAATATTCTTGTAAATTTGGCTAACCCGGTCAGTTTTTTAAAACAGAACGTCCTTCGCGATTTGAAACTATGAAACTAAGGGACCACAGTTAAAGATTCTACCTTGCAACAAGAAAACTCGTGCACTCTTTTTTTTTTACGTTAGTACACGAGAAAAACTCTTAAATGAATGACAATTTATTTCAAATTGGAATCGAAGTTGCACAACAACAATGCCTCCACCCAGTCAACAACGTATCACTTCCAGATAGTTGTAGGTCTAACTTCAACTCTAACACAGTTTCTCATCCGTACAAACAGTTCAAAGAACTCTTTAGCTTAACAGGGAGAACTCCCTCGGATAGTAATATGACAGTTTTCCATTCAAATTTTATACAAATTCAAACCAAGGTTAGGAGAGTACCAATTTATTTTACAAGAAAATTTAAATACCGAATTGAAAAAATGGAACAAGACAGCCGCATCGTTAACTTAGACAAACTAGACAAAAAAGTTTTAAAATTCCAATAATGGTCACAAGAAAGAAAGGCGGTGTGATAAAACTATACCTCGAAAATAAACTGCTAAACGATCAATTTTTCAAAATAAATAGCAAATGCCGAACAAACATGAACTTATCGACAACATCGCTTTATAGCTCTAAAACAAAAAGTTAGGTGACGTTTGATTCAGAAGTTTGATCTAAAAAACGCATACAGTCAACTAAAATTGTGCAATAACACGAGCAAACAAAGTCATTTTAGTATAGTGGGTGCTGAAACAACGTATTTTATCGTTTCTAAACCGGTTTCTTTGAATTCGGAGAAAGTCCAAGCGAGTTTCAACGGGTAATGGAATTGCTACTAAAAGACATATCTTCATTAGTTGCAACATTGACGTGATTTTAACAGCTCCGAAAGGTTCGCTGGAAAAACACAAATTCATCTTGTGGAAAATATTGAATATACTCGATAACAACAACATGACATAAAATGGAAAAATGCCCCTTCTGTTTACGCATGAGTTTTAAGATTTCTCACAAAGGAGTGAAACCAACGATGGGGAAAACAGGTTCGATTAAAAACCTCCCAAATCCGGAAAGCTTTTCAGAATTAAGATCTTTCTTCGGGTCAAAAAATCAGTACATTGAATTTGTCCCAACTTGTCAACCCTAGATTCACCACTTCGTCCTTAATTGAACAAAAAACCTAGTTTATCTACCATTGGAATGAAATTCACAGGAAATGAAAATCACATTTGAAAAACTAAAAATGCACATCGTTAAAATTACGGAAAGTAACCTTTTTGATTTAAAAAGAATGCCAAGATTAAAAACTGACGCTATGCACAACGGATAAGGATCCACTCTCGAACAATGGGACGGAGAGTCTTGGATTACGATTGCGTTAGCATTTAGATTTTTAAATAAGCATGAGATGAACTACTCCACAAACAAATTAGAAATTCTAAGAGTGGTCTCGGCAACCAAACGTTTTAAGAATTACCT